TATTCAAAATTCAAAGGTTTCTTCCCTTATCTAGAGAGATTCATTCCTTTGTGCTTCGATTTTGGTTTGAGCAAAACTGAATTCTGAAATTATGGAGACCAAGTCGACGACCCAGGGACGGAAGGTGATTCGAGTGGTGGCTAGGGTTAAGCCATCCACAGATCCGGTTGTACAAGCGTCGGCGAAATCTATATCCGTTCACAAACCCAAGGGAGATGAATCGGAGACAGTTTCGATTTCGTTCGGAGCTCAATTCGCTGGGTAACTATTCCCTTCTTCCGACTTAAATTAAACCCTGGACTCAATCTGTCAAGCATACGGTTTGATTTCTTCGAAAATGCCCAATTGGGTTGGGTTAGATTTTCTTCGATTACTTTGTCTCTAGTTGTTGAGAATTTTGAGTGGGATTACTGTTAAAGTGAGAAATTGATGATAGATTGGGATTGTTATCAATGTATAGACTTTCCATGGAACTGGATTAATTTGCTCTAAAGTTTTGCTTATATCAACTCTTGTGTTCATCTCCTGTTTTGAGTTTAAACTGTTCCAATGCTAATAAAGAGTACATTTTTTCTTGTTCTGTGTTGTGGCAGTTCGAAAGACTCGTATAAATTAGACTACTGCTTCGAAGAAAGTGAAACTACAGGTTTAATTCTCACAAAGGAGATAAAACCTCTTATCACTAGTGTCTTTGAGGGTAAAGATGCTAATGTTATTGCCCACGGAGCGAGATGTAGCGGAAAGACACATCTTATCCAGGTATTGAAAGAAATTATTCCACCTAAGGACTGACCATCAGGTTATTAATGTAGATGAAAAATGCTAATTGAGTTATGAATTATATTGTTTTGAAGGGATCTGAGAGGGAACCTGGTATAGCTGTACTTACAATGGCTGAGATGTTATCCATGGCTGAGGAAAGAGGAGACTCGATTTCGGTATCAATTTACGAGGTCTCTCAAGAAACTGTGTATGACATTTTAGGCCAAGAAAAGAGAGTGGTTTCTGTACTAGAAGGTGCACAAGGGAAAATTCAACTTAAGGGACTTTCACAGGCAAGTCATTTAGCATTCTGAAGCATCAAGTCTTCCGGCATTATCTGTATTCTACAGATTAGGATCATTAATATTCCAAATTTCTGCTTCAGGTACCTGTGAAGTCACTCTCAGAATTCCAGAACTTGTATTTTGGTCTCAAGAAATCCCAGAAGCTGACCAGTGACCCTCCTCTTAGGAGCCATAGAGGTGTGATGATACATGTAACTACGGGCAACGTCAATTCAGGCTCCTTTGGGAGGATGAACTTTCTTGATATGGCAGGTTGACTATTTTATATCACATTTTAATGATCGTTTGTATGTGATAATCTTATGTCAGCATGTGATAAGTATTGTCATTCTCTGCCAGGATATGAGGACTCCAGGAAACAAAACAGTGATCTAGCTCATCTAGAGATTACCAGAATAAATAAGTCGATATATGCTTTACAGAATGTCATGTATGCTCTCAACGCAAATGAAACTCATGTGCCATATCGGGAAAGCAAACTCACTCGCATGCTGAAAGATTGTCTACAAGGAGGCAACAGAACGTTGCTAATCACATGTTTGGTAGATACTTTGCTGGCTGTTGAGTTGTTTTAGATTTATGCTTCAATGAATGTAATTGCAGGCGATGCTAACCATTTAGTTTCATATTTCAGCCCCGGGAATTTAGCCAAGACTCATTTTACATGCTAAACTTAGCATCACGGATCTGTGTAGGCAGTAATCGAGTCATGGCCAATGCTGCTACAAAGAAGAACAATAGTATTGCTAGATCTATTTCATCATCCTCTGCTGTTCAAAGGAGACAGACACCTTTGGTTGTGTCTGCTACTTTTAACAAAAAGACATTGCTTAGAGGAAGTGTGACTGAGAGAAAGACTAAGCTCAACACTGTTGCTTCTGCAATTAAAGGAAGGTAGAACTTTCCGCCTTTCCGGACCATCTTTTTATCAGCTCTAAGCCTTAGTATCTTTCCTATAGGTTGCATCTGGTCTGTTGCTCAATTTTTAAACATCAAATGATGATGATTTTTTTCTAATGATTGAAGGAAACTGTTTGGTGAAGCAAATGATTCGGTCAACTGTAAAAATAACCCAAAGAAGGTAATCCATATTTTGCCCTTTTCCTAATGAATTTAGATATAGTTTAGTTAGATTTGTTTTGGATTTTGTAGATGGAAAGTAAAGCAAGGGTGGCAGTGAAAAAGGTAGAGCTCCTCATTCTGCATTGTTAGAATAATGCTCTTCAGTTTTCTTCCTCACCTTGAATGACACTTGTGTTTATTTTATGTAGGAAATCTCCACTTCAAAGGTTGTCTTGGACGTTCAGGCCTCCTCATTTGAAGAAGTATATCCTTGCGAGCTTGAAGTAAATGAGGCTTATATCTTACTAAGGCATTACTTACAAACTCTTCTGTTCTTTGATGTAGGGAGTCTGCTCGTCGTTTATTGTTACAGATTCTCAATCTTCTTTGATAGAGGAGGTAAAGTTTTATAATAACGGTTATGCTAAATGAAAATTATCAAGACATTACTTGCATTCACTGGTTAACACTTGGCCGGTAATTTCATTGCAGGAAAATGTTGATTTGGCTTTCTCAAGTTCTACAGTAGCCATGGAACCGGTAAATTCTCCATCTACAAAACTCTCTACATTTAAAGTAGATGCTAAAAATATTCAAATAATAACAGTTGTTTCCTCTGTTTAAATTTCTGATTGAGTCAAATATCCAATATTGCTTCTTTTCATTTCTAGGGATATTCAACCTGTGCATCTTTCAGCTCAGAACTTATTGACACTACATATACGGTAATTTTCATAGCTGTCTGTTTTGTTTGAACATCTGGATATCAATAGTAAGACATTTCTTCCATTAATCTTCAGGAGACACCCCAAAAACATGAGGAAAGGTTTTCGGGAGCCATTTATTGTGATGATGGTTTTACAAACAAAGGTGAGACTGAAAAGTTGATAGAGAATAGTCTTGTTTAACAAATTAATTAACTTCTTGTTTAACAAATTAATTAACTTATGTTGGCTTGTTTTCTGAATGGCAGCTCAAATAGCAGAGAGAGCTGACAACAGTTCAGTCATTGAAGAAGATCCGACTCTGGTTAATGAAGGTGGGTTTTGAGTCTTGTGATATTTATCTAAGAAGCTAATATATTGAGCCTTATTTTGATTGTTGGTAGTTCTGTTGATTGTAGGAGAAAACTTGGACAAAGAAAACAAGAGTTTACTTGCCAATGAAACTGCATCACCACCGCTCAGCATTCGGCTTCAAGAACTATCAAATACTTTGAAGTCGATATGCAAGACCTCAAGCCAATTATCCCCGCCTGAGAAATATCACACTGCCCTAACTAAATCAAAGACGGAAGAAGTATCAGAGTACAGCGACATTACTGTTGAAGCTGCTGTCAGTTTAGACCTAAAAACGCCGGAGAGAAGTATGCCTTCAAACATTGGCTGTAGTCCTTGGAAGACATTCAGTGCGCACAGCTCTAAATTGAAGGTAAAAAACAATTAAAGCTTTCATAGATTATTAATGTGATTATGTATCATCTTCATATCTGATAGGTGGCTAATAGTTGTATGTTTCAAACTTAACACATAACTCTGGGCAGAGTATACCTTAATTGTTGTTTCAAAGCGTCGCATATTGACATAATGACATTTTCGTTTGCTGGAAATGTTGCAGAATTCTGCTGTTGGAGAGTACCTCAAGTTCTTAAACACAGCTGATAAGTAAGTTTGTTTTCTTTCTATGTTAAAATTAAGGCATCTAAATTGATGTGATAAAGAAGTGAATAACTTGCGTTTTGACTATGAGAAACTTTCCATATCCTGATTTTTTTCCGGTTATAAACCATTTGATCCACGTGGTTGTTTTGGATAACAAATATTCAATAATTTGTGTCTAAATTGATGTGATAAAGAAGTGAACTAACCTAAGTCTTTTCTTCTATTTGTGGTATATACAGGGAAGATCTAAAGAAACTAAAGGTGAGATGACTAGTCTGATCATAAAAATATTAAAATGTTTGTTATTGGTATAGTGCATAACTCGTAGACACTGCCTACATTGATGAATGATATAGGGAATTGGAGAAAGGAGAGCGACTTACATAGTCGAGCTCCGGGAAGAATCTCCTGAACCATTCAAGAAAGTAAGTTTTTTAAGCTCACGACCACTATTGTTTTCAACATTTCATTTAGTTTCTACATGTTTCCATAAAGTTTTATAAATGAGAAGTTGCATCTCTATCACGATGAGTTAGCAACAAAATTTCATCACCATTGAATATTCATCAGAAACTATGATGTTTATGTTATATATGAATCCAAACTTCTTTCCAAGTTATGTATGCTCATCTTCTTGTATCTTCCATTGCAGCTTGATGACTTGAAAGATATCGGACTCTCAGAAAAACAGGTTTGCTTATCATCATCAAATCCTTCAATTTCTCTATTCTTTTCTCACTTTTTGGGTCAGAAGTTGGTTACCAAATCATTTTTAATGATATCCATCCAAAATCTGGATCACAAGTCAACTTGAAAATCTAAACTTGTATCAACTTAAGATGAGCATACATATTCTGAGCACCATAGGTTTGTAAAGTTCACTAGTTAATGTTTCACTTAGATACCTCTCATTTTAACTTAATTGTAAATACAATCTACATGTTCTGTAATCTCTCAAAGAATTTATATCGGCCTAACGTGTAATGATTGGACTTTTTGCATTGATAGATTAAGGGATTGCTGAGAAAAGAGATTGGGGAGATATTCCATTAGCTGAAGAACATTCTCTATGGTGACAACAAATGAGTCTGCAAATATTTATGAGATTCCGAGGCAACATGAGGTTGCTCCTAAGAGTTTCATAATAGAAAGGTAACTTTGTTGAATATGTCCCATTGTGACAACTTAATTTGTGGTTTCAGTACTTAATTTGAATCTGTATCGTGTCATTCTACTACTGTCTGAAGATTTGTGTTTCAACTTTCAAGTCAATGTGAATTATTAGTATATCAAATCTCTCTCTCTTTATTTTGTCAAATATTTGGTTACACAATCACTCTGCTTTGTTATCACCGGAGAAGTAAATCTCACAAGACCGAGGAAGAAACACAGGCAACAAGAGACCAAACAGATTATAAAACCACATCACCGTGTTAACCGACGCAATCGCTCTTCCTCCGTATAATCTCACCGGACCACCGGGACGCTGAGTGTCGGAGAATTCCGCTTTAACCCAATCCAAAAGCGCGAAAATCCGACGAGCGTTGTAGAAGACCGGTCCGAGAATACCAATCGGCGTCGAAAACTTGTCGGAGAAACCAATTGGTTCCGTGAATGCTTGACCTGAGAGGAGGAACAGATGCGGAGCAGCAGCTCCGGCGCCGTGAATGTCTCCCCGGAATATTCCATCTCCGATGTAGCAAATTGGGAAGAGCAGGCCTGAGATAAAGTTTTTAACATTTAT